CCCCCCACCCCGCGGGTCAGATCCCGATGTGGGCGTGTTTACGCACGTCGATCCTGTGACGCACGACATTATCGTGCAAGATGTCACGCATCTGCGCAAAGAAAAGACGGGAAAAGGCGAGGTGGCCAAGGGAGGCGGCAAGGTGACCTACGTCAAAGGCGATGATGTGCTCGATGTGAGTTGCCGCGCGGTCATGTCCGTGGCGGGCAGGGATCCTGGCGAGAAGCAATTTTTGCGAGAAGGGATCCTGGCGAGAAAGCATCCTGGCGAGCAGGGACTCGGCGAGAAAGCATCCTGACGCGTTCGCTCATGCACAGAATCACGGCATGAAATTAAAGTGGACCGACTTCTTGATCAGCCCAGACATGATGTTTGTGCTCTTCATCACCGACAGGTCCCATCAGTGGCGCTATTCGACTCGTTTCAATCTCTGGCTGTACGACCTCACCACCAAAAAGACTGTGCCAATTGGTGGTGGCCCTCACTATCCGGCCAAGACATCAGCCGCATCTTGGGCTCCCAAAGGCAACTTCCTTGCGTATGTGCAGGACAATGACTTGTACACCCAGGAGCCTGGAGGCCAGCCGCACAGGATCACCAAGGACGGCACAAGGGACATTTTCAACGCCGTTCCTGATTGGGTGTACGAGGAGGAGGTGTTCAACAGCGAGTCAGTCTATTGGTGTGAGTGAAATGCGGTGTTTGGTCGCTTCGCCGAACACGGCTCAAAAACTTGCTCGACTGCTCGTTCAGGGTCCCCGTCGGGCACGAAGCTGGCTTATTTGCGTCTCGACGAGACTGCGGTATCCGTCTACTCGTTTCCGATCTACAATCCAGACAAGTGGACCACAGGTCTCACAACGCCATACCTCACCAGCACCTCGATGAAGTATCCCAAAGCCGGATTTCCAAATCCCACCGTTAGTGCCCACGTCGTCGACGTCGCCGCCGTGCAAAAAGGAGCATCTCCTGTAGACGCCATCTCTGAGTTGGTGAGCCCCAAAGTGGGCCAAGGGGGACAAGCAAATGCCAACGATACAAAGGTGGATGAAGATTTGCAAAAGGAGAGGCTCATTACCGAGGTCACCTGGACCGGTGCCGACGAAGTTCTCCTGCGCGAGACGAATCGCGTTAGTGATCGAGCTCGCTTGCTGAGGTTTGTGCTCAGCAGCGAGGCGATTCTCGGAAAGTCCGTCACTGGAAGTGTCGTCAGGCGCGACGATGGGCGCACGAAGCTGCACTTGGGAGGAGGCTGGATCACAGCTGTGAGTCGTGTGTCAGCCTTGCGAACACCAACGGCGGCTTCTGAGGAGCGCCAAGATACACTGCTCACCACTTTTTTTTTTTTGGGCGCACTCCAGTTCCAGGAGAAGCAGCCGCTGGGAGCGATGGACCTCGCGCTTCAGAGCACGGCATACTTGGACATTCTTCCCACCAAAGGAGGCTTTAGACACCTCGCATTTTTTGCCAATTCTAGTGTGGAGCAGCCACTTTTCATCACCCAGGGCGAGTGGGAGGTGGATCAGCTGCTACATGCAGATCTCAAGCGGCAGCGCGCGTGAGTGTAGCGATGTAGTGGCATTCCCGAAGCGCTCACTCACGATGCGCTTCCGCAGATACTTTTTGGCTGCGAGTCCAACACCTTCTCAGCGGCATGTGTACCTGGTTGGCTTGCCAGACATCACTTCACAGCAGACGGTCAGCCGGTACAGAATTCGCCCGCCTATTCCCTTGACAGACATCCACAAGCCGGGATGGCATTCTGCCTCCTTCGACCCCAAGGGAGCGTACTACATTCTCACCAAGCAAGGTCCCGACGTGCCATCCGTCCGAGTGCTTGGTCTCGACGATCCCAAGTTCGAGCTGGTGCTGCAGGACAATGCGGACCTGCGAAAAACGCTGACCAGGTACGTGGCGCCTTCGAACGTCTTTTACACTATCGAGGTGGGAGACAAGAAGGACGTCATTGTCAGCGTGCGCGAAATACGTCCGCACGATTTCGATGCCAGCGGACAGACGCGCTACCCCGTCCTGGTCAACGTGTATGGCGGACCAAACTCGCAGACGGTCAAGTCCGAATTTGACCTTGCCGGTTGGCACACGTACCTGGCGACGTCGCTCGGCTACATCGTCATCAACATCGACGGCAGGGGCACGGGCTTCCGAGGCAGGCAGTATCGCTGTCGCGTCACAAATCGTCTTGGCGTGTACGAGACGGACGATGTGGTGGACGCCATGCGAGAGATTAGAAAGTTGCCCTACGTCGATGAGAGCAGGACAGGAATCTGGGGCTGGAGCTATGGAGGCTATCTGACCAGCAAAGTGATTCAAGCCGACTCGGGCATGTTCGGTCTCGGCATGGCTGTAGCGCCGGTCAGCAAGTGGGAATTTTGTGAGTCGCAGCGTTGCGATTGTGCGCAGGATTGTATGCTGAGACAGCTGTGTTAGACGACTCTATATATACGGAGCGGTACATGAAGATGCCCTCGCAAAATCGTGCAGGCTATGCAAACTCCTCGGTGATGATCTCGGACGGCTTCCGTCATGCTCGATACCTGCTGGCGCAAGGCTCAGGCGACGATAATGTCCATTTCGAGGTGCGCTGCGGTGTTTGTTCTTGGTTGCCATGCGCATGCTCACACAGTCTGCTCTCGTCGTCTTGCACCCCACAGAGCTCGGCTCACCTTCTCGATATCCTCACCAAAGCGCAGATCCGAAATTTTCAGTTTCGCATGTTTACGGACTCGGCGCACTCGATCAGTGTCCGCGGCGCGTACCGAGAGCTGCACGAGTTCCTCATCCGCTTCTTGGTCTTGAATTGGGGGCCAGGCGGACTGCGAAAGTTTGATACTCACGCAACGCGCAACGACTACGACAGACGATCCATCGAGGCGCGCATGAGCGACGAGGAACGTCAAAAGAGGGACATGGAGTGGGTGCGACGGGAAGCTGCTGCTCGTGCGAAGGAGAAGAGGCGAGCCAGCGCTGGAGATTTGTGAGCGGGGACATGCGTCACGTATTTAAGCCTCTCGATGCGATAGACGTCGCGATGACGATGTAATTGTGTGTGTGCGCGTGTGTGCGCGCGTATGTGTGCGTGTGTGTGCGCGCGGGGGGGGACTTTACCAAGGTGACCTGCCTGGTTTCTTGAATTTGCGATCTGCATCGCCGTGACCGTGACCGCGACCTTGGCTGTGCTTGCGCTTCTTGGCGGTAGCACCACCCGACGCACCGCCTTCTCGTTTGATCTCATCGATGATGGCCAGCCCTTCCACCTCTTTCTCGTCGAGCGATTTTTCATCGAGCGGTACTTCATCGAGCGATTCTTCATCTCGCGCCCCTTGCAGTGCTCTTTCCCTTTGCGGTGCTCGCCCCCCCTGCGGTGCTCGCGCCCCCTTTGCGCTCTTGCGATCCGCGCGCGCATCCGCAGAGCGTCCTTGAGGTCTCGATTTGCCGTACGCACGGGCGCCTCCCCTGTCGCCCTCGCCCTCGCTCTCCGCATCGCTCTCGCTCCCCTTGCGACTCTTTTGACGTTTTCTTTGCGCCCACGCACCAAAAGATCGGCGGGTCGACTGACTCGGGGCGGATGCATCGACGTCGACGTCGACGTCGACGGGATCATGCTCCGTCTTCACGTCAGCACCGGCAAGCCAGGAGGACCAAGCTGGTTCGTGCTGCACCATGACTGCGGACGATGTAGGCCTGTTTGAAGCAGATGGAGCAGATGGCATGGACCACTCTTCGTCCGATTGCGATGCATCCTTGCCTTGGCGTGCTCGAGTCGCTATCAAGGTCACAGGCTGTGACGTGGGCGAGGGCGCTCGCGCTCGGACGCTCGTTGACGCTATCGCGAAAGATTGGGGCGACGCTGGTGCTCTAGAAGTGCGAGGGATGGAGCTGCTTGTGCTGGCCAAGGCACTTTGGTCGGGAGCTTGCTGCTGTTGCTGCTGCTGCTGCTGCTGTTGCTGTTGAGCATTGGCACGCTGCATGAACTTGAGTCCCTGCAATCGGCCACTCAAGCCGGCCACGGTGGATGAGCGCCCATTGGACATGATGGCGAGCAGACCGCTAACGGCATTCAGCGAGTGAGTCAATCTAGCGGGTGGTTGACCTGCTGGCGAAGGTGATGCTTGCGTGAGTGGTGGACGCAGGCTTGATCTTGGCAGCATTTGGAATCCACGACTTGCATTGCGCACGCAGCTGCTACTTATGCACTCTTGCGCGCGCGCGCGTGTCGCACGAGAGGGTCACGAGGAATGAGCCCGCGGCGAATCGCGTACGCGTTGTCGCGCAGAACGAGAAGGCCGCGGGGGCAACATCATCACTACGTACTCTGACTGCAAGCACACCCTTTTGCAAAATGCGAATTGATTACTTTCCGAGCTTCTACATGGGACTGTCCCGGGGATGAGTATGCGTGCCTGCCCACGCCGCACGCCGCCCTCGATCAAGCTTCCTCGATCATGCCCGCGGCCACCTGCTTGTACACCTTGCCGCTCTTGGTGACGCGCTCATCGCGACGATTGCGCCGTCTCCAGTACCTCTGCATGGCCTTGATAGCAGAGGTGAGGGGCTGCTTGCCGTACGCGTCAAACGCGAAGCACGCTGCAGTGTTGACCAAGACGACGGCGAGCAGGGCAAAGTGGAAGCTTCGAGGGAATTCCACAAGTCCCAGGAGCTCAAAGATGAATCCAGAGGGGACAAAGAGAAAGTACAAGCTGCAGAATGAGAGAATGACGAGCGCCGCCACCAGCATCGGGTTGGTGTACAAGGGCTTGCGGTATGGTGGTCCGACACTAAAGATGGCGCAGACGATAATGTACTGGAAGGACGAGACCAAGAAGAGGGCAGAGTTTTCCGGGTTGACCACGTCCAGCTTGTCCGGATTCACAATGGGCGGCGTGTACCAGGGCTGGGCGCGAGTGTAGAAGAAGGTGAAGAATTGCGCAGCAGCGCAGATCACGACCTGTCCAAGCATGCTGATCAGCACCTTTTTGGACACCAGGTTCGCCGTGGGTCGCTTGGGATGGATCGTATCGAAAGGCAGACCACGAGCCATGGCCACGGCCAGCGGAATGATGAGGCCGAGATCGATGTAGAGGAATTGAAAGTCGCCGAGGGAAGATGCAAAGCCGTAGAGCAACGTGATGGTCGTGAATTGGATCAGACTGTACAGCGCCATGAAGCTGAAACACCCAAAGCTGCAAGTGATGGCAGCGCGGCCTTCTTTGATGACGTCGATGACGCACGAAATATCTGGCGAACTGGAAGTGAACGGAGCGGCGACCGATGCTTCGGCTTCGCTCAAAGAGATGCCCACATCTGCGGCTTTGAGGGCACCGCAGTCATTTGCACCGTCTCCGCACATACCAGTCGTGTAGCCCAGCGCTTGCAATCGCTCGATGAGCTCGTGCTTTTCGTCGGGCGACATTCTCGCGAAAATGGTGCCCTTGATGAGCATCCGGCGAAGCGTCTCGATCGGCGCATAGTCGATCATCCACCGGAAAATGTCACCCGTGACAGCGAGCTGATAATCTTGAAAGTCGAGCTCGTCTAGGTGCGGATCGTCGCGCAACGGCTTGAGGCGAAACGCATCCAATTTGACCCGCTCGTCGTCGACGCTCGACCAGTCGATGACTGCGTCTGGCGACTTTTGATCACCGTGCACAAACGTTGGCAAGAAGACGTGGGCCGATTGGTCGACCATGCCACACTCGCGCGCGACGCTGATGGCAGTGCGTGGATTGTCTCCGGTGGCCATCTTGCAGACAATGTTGGCATTCATCAGCTCTTGAATGGCCGGCGCGGTCCCTTCTTTGATCTTGTTCTCAAAGATGATCAATCCCAGAAATCGCAGCTTGCTCTCTGCCTGCTCTCGCTTCATTCGCTGCGCCTTGATCCAGCTCATGTTGGGCATCGTCTTGCCTGCGCAAGCAATCACACGATATCCGTGCTTGGTGTAGTACGCCAGCAGGTCATCGTAGTCGGCAGGGAACGAATCGCGTTCGCAGATCTCCGTCATGACTTCGGGCGCTCCCTTGACGTAGACTTCCATGGAAGGGGATTTGAGGCGCTTGACGATGACGCTCATTCGACGGAGCTGGGACACGAATTCGAACGTGCGCAGCACGCCCACTGCGGTGGATGATATGTGTCAGGCCGAGTAGCGTAGCGTAGCCAGGCCTGGCCCGCGGTCGTCAAGACGCCCCCCCTCCCCCCCTCCCCCCACCCCCCTCGACGCCCCACTCACATTCGAGAAAATGTGCATGCTTGCCTGGCTTGACGGCATCTTCGACTTCAAAGTGCTGACCACCAGGTGGGCGAACGACCGTTTGTACCAGCGCAGGCGCTCTATCGGTCAGTCGACTCTTGCCATCCTTTGCCGTACCGCTCTTTGTGGTCGCTTGTGCAGCGTCCTTGCCTTCATCGAGAGTCCAGCCGGTATACTCGAACATCTTGACATCCAAAGGATCGCCAATGACCTCCCCATCGACGACCTTGAGACTATGACACGTAGCCAGGGCGTACAGGAGGGGCATCTTGCGGGCTTCCACATCGCTCGGAGTGTTGCTGCCATTGACAGGCATCTCTTCGACGGTCTCGTGGAGCTCGCTGAACCTTTTGGCGCGCAGGTCGATCGTACGAGTGCCCAAGACGTCGAGGCCGTCTGCGTGGGGGGGCACGTGCGCGTGCGCGTGCGCGTGTGATCAGAAGCGCTGAGCACAACGCGCGGACAACGCGCGGCGGGACTTGGAGCGGGCGCGACTCACCTGCAGTCAAGGTACCAGTCTTGTCAAAGCACACGACATTGATCTTGCCTCCAATGTTGACGCGATTGGGAGAGATGCAAAAGATGCCTCCTTTGCGCAGACGAGCGATGGCAAAGGTGGTGCCGATGCTCATGGTCGCGGGAAGAGCAGGAGGAACGACGACGGTGATCAGGTCGAGGGCACGCAGAATGATGGTGTGAATGCCAATGCCGAGCTTGATAAAGTTGATGGAGCTGGCAAGGAAGCCGACGCCCGCAATGCCGGCAAGGAATCCGATAAATCTAAAAGAGTCGCGGTAGAACTTGAATCCCATGGGCTTGGGGAACAGCATACTGCGGACTAGTGCGCCCTTGGTCGTGTCGAACCCAGTGCGCACAACCATTGCTTTTGCCCCAGCATCGTCCCCGCCGCCCGTAGTAGGCCGAATTCGGATGATTCTCGTTCCCGCAAAGAGAAAGTGGCGCGCCAAATCGGGCGAGATTTCTCCTGAAGGCGAGTGCAGGCCGAGCATGCCCGAATCCGCGAGAGGCACTTTGCTGACGGGCACCGACTCTCCCGTGAGCATGCTCTCGTTGACGATCGCATCACCGCTGAGCAGCACGCTGTCAGCAGGGAACAGGAGCAAGCTCGACTCTGCCACGTCGTACACGTCACCCGGCACGAGTTCCGAGCTATCACGATCGGCCCAGCTGCCCTCTCGCAGCACCCTGACGGGGCATGTGAATCGACTCATGGCGCGCATGCGCGCAATGGTGCGCTTGGTCTCGAGCAAGGTCGTGATGATGGATGCAGCGCTGATGAGAGCGATGCAAGCGGCGTAGTAGTAGTAATCGTCGATGCTCCACAAAACGATCGATACGATCTGAAACATGTAAAAAGGGTGCAAAACTTCATCGACGAGCAATTGCCACGTCGTCTTGCCCGCAATGTCGATGACATTCTCGCCAAACAACGTTGTGCGATCCTTTTCGGCGTCCCAGCTGATGCCCTTGGCGGCTGAAGCGGTGGATGTCCACGTTGGATCGCGCCAATCTTTGATCATGCGCCAGCGGCCCGAAGGCGGATGGAGAGCGAAGCGCGTGTAGCGATAGTCTAGAAACGTGAGCTCCATGAGCTGCTCCGTCTGGACGCCTGCGAGCATGGGAAGCGAAGAGGCGGGCGTGCGCGTCTGCGCGGGCGCGATTTTGGACGCTTCGGCGATGCTGCTACGCGCAGACGCCGACTTGCCGTTGAGCACTAGGCCAGGCGGAAGGGCGACGGGAGGAGCAGACTGATGCTCTGCAGGGGTGCTGGGCGGCTCTCTAGACGAGACGGGAAAGACGGTGGCGAGGGGCCGAGCAAAGGGCACCGTATCGGGCTTGACCTTGACCATGTCTCCCCATTGATTCTCGACGATGATGAAATCGGCAGAATCAAAGTCGGCAAGTGTGCATACCCAGCGAAGGCGCCAACGTGGCAGCCATCGGCCTAGCAAGTAGACGATGCCGAGGGTGAGGATGCAGGCGAGAGTGTAAGTGAGCTGCTTTGTGGGCACGGAGCGGTAGCCAGTGAATCGAATCAAGGCGTCGTCTTCGGCGAGATAGATTTGCTGCTTCGATCTGCTGTCCTTGTCCAGGTAAGACATTTCCTCCTTGACTCGCGCAGCTTCTTGAGCAGCCGCTGTTGGCGCTGCTGCAGCTGCCTCAATGTCGGGAAGAAAGCCAGAACGACCACGCGCAAAGCCGCTCGAGTCGCCAGCTCCAGCTTCATTGGTAGCGCTCGCACCCAGCTCTTCGTCCAGCTCGTCGCGAGGCTCGTGATCCAGCGTGACTCGATTATCTCCAAAGACGGGGTCGACCTGACCGCCCACCATGCCAAAGGCGGAAGGCAGCAAGCCGCCTCTTCCCCGATCGCCATCTTCATCGGAGGTGCTGCTGTGCAGGCTATCTGCATCGCTGATATAGTCCCCGTCTTGGTCGTCTTCATCCTCGTTATCATCCGTGCCGTATTCTTCCTCGCTCCAACCTCCGCCGCCTCCGCGGTCGGAGGAGGGACGAGATGAGCGGCTGACGACGGACGAAGAGCTCCTGCGACGGCTCATTAGGGGTCGCTGTGAGCCCGAAGCATCTTGCTCCTCTGATGATGCTTGCTGTCCGCCTCGAAGCGAAGCCATGAAGCTGCCAAGCACGCCGCGGGGACGTTCTTCGCTCGCATCCACTTCCTCGGCTTCCCGGCGAGATGCCACGCGCCTCTTGCGACCGAAACTCGAGCGGGCAGCGATACTTCGAACGCTTTCCGCTGCACTCCTTGTATCGTCAGCCTCTGCATCATCCAAATCACCGCTGCTGCGAATGGAAGAGGTGCTGATCTTGCGAGAGCGGGTGGGCGAGTTGGAGTACTCGCGGGAAATGCGCTGCCTTGATCTGTTGGAAGCGCGGCGAGATAGCTCAGGGCGGGACAAATGATGGTGCATGCTGTGGGGGAAATGTCGAGTCAGTGGGGGGGAGAAATACGCGAATGTATGCGCTGCGCTGCGCCGCGCTGCGCCGCACTCACCTGCTCACGCTGCTTGGCACGGCACCAGCGGTGGGACCGTCAAAGATGCTGGAACTGAGACCGCCATCGTCGGCATAGCTGCCCACTTGGCTGTCCCTTCTGCGCCTCCCACCTATGCTGATGCCCATCTCCGCGGCCGTCCCTGTGCCGTTGGTCTCTGCATCGCCATCGTGCTCGCGAGCCCAAGCCAGAGCCTCTGCTCTTTCTGCATCATCAAAGAATGGCGATGATGGCTGCGTTGATGGTTCTGTGGGAGGACGTGGAGGTAGAGAAAAGGGAGATTGATACTCGTCTGCTGCCACGTCGAACGGCTGCTTGCCGTTGACGTTGACGTTGCCGTTGCCCTTGCCGTTGACTTTTTTGGAAGTCATCTTGAGCAAGCACGACGTGTGGCGGCGCGAAACCGGATGCTATGATGATGGAGCGAGCAGCAATCACGAAGGCGAGTGAGATGTATGCACACCAAGCGCGCGCGGTCCCGAGATGCGGCGTCTGTGGGCCTGCAAGCGCGCAACGAAGATGAGATTCACCAGTCGTGAGTGTGCAGCACGCGCACGCACGCACCCACGCACGGTTGCGTCCATCGCGCATCGATCGAAGCGAGAAATATGAAAGGCGAGCAGGCATGCAGCAGGCAGGGTCTTCTTCACGACATGTGCGGGAGCGTGAGCCACGTGGCGCGCGCCCGCGCCAGCCACGATGAGATCGAGGATACGCATGCGGAGGAGAACAGCGAGCGCGCGTCGAGCGTGAGGACACCCACAGGCGCAGTCGGGCGGGCAGGTCACTCACTGCATGACTCCGCCTGACGGACTGCGTGTTCCGGTGCGCTTTCGATCGAGGCGGTGTTGTTTGTTGTTGCGTGCGTGCGTGCGTGGCGCGCGGCGTGCCGTGTGGCCGGCCGGCGTTTTTGCACGTGTGGTTACAAGTCGCGAGTCGCGAGTCGCAGGATAGTGGTGACTCTTCCCTCCTCTCTCTCTCTCCCACGCTCTCAGCTGCGCCCATCTGTCACCATACAATTAGTCCATCGCCACCGCAGCAGATACCCATAAGCGCGGCGCACACCGACACCAGCAGCCGCTTCACGACCGACTTGCGCCCCACAAGCACGCCCCATCGCTGGCATGGCTGCCTGCTTCGCCGTCCGGCCACACACATAGCATTACGCACACAGCATCCAGCACGTGGACTCGTGCGATATCATACTTGCGGCCGGTGTAGATGCTTCTGACTGGAGCATTGCGCATGCACAGCCACGATGCCGCCAGCGCTGGCAGCAGTCCCCAACGTTCACCACAAGGAAGCCTTTCCGGCGCAGACATGGCCCCAGTCATAGCAAGCTCGGCTGCAAACGGTGGTTCACATGGCGGCGGTGGAGGCCTTTTAGCGAGCGCCGACGGGAAGCAGCAGGAGGAGCACCACGAGCAGCAGGAGCAGCAGGAGCACCACGAGCAGCAGGAGCAGCAGGAGCACCACCACGAGCACCACAAGCACCACCACGCGCACAATCACAACGCGCGGCCGCCTCCAGCAGTGTTGCCCAAGACGTGGTCAGCGGAGAGCATCACATCGCCCGCTGTTCAGCTTCCCACCTTTGATCTCAACGAGCCTCGACACTATGCGAGACGGCCCTCCTTACCAGCTCATCACAGTAATGGACACTTTCCATCGGGTCCAGCATCGCCCGTCGCAATGCGTGACAAGGAGCAGCAGACCTCGCAGTACTACTTCACGGCATCAAGCGCGACGGCATCCAGCGCGACGGCATCCAGCGCGAGACCGCATACAAGCCAGCCAAAGCGACGCAGACTGAGCCAGCCCGTCAGCTCATCGCTACAGAAGCGTCGTTCGATCAGCAGAATTCGCAGCGGCTCTGTGCTGGAGGATGATGGCGAGCGAGAACAGCTATCCACCAGCGAGGGAGAGGCGTTGGGCGATGCATTGGGACGGCACAGACCGCCGCCTCGATCCCCCTCCTTTTACTCTTCCACTGCCTATGCGGCCGGGTCATCGGGTCGCAATGGGCGAGGCGAATCTGGCAGCACCAGCAGCTCGGACGCTTCGAGCAGCGATAGGCACGTCTTTGACTGGGATGCCAAGAGGGCCGCGGTGCGAGAGAGGACGCGAGATAGACAGAGGATGAGCTTCGACGAGAGGCAGAGCAGCGCGAGGGCCAGGAGATTGAACCTCACTCTGCCGGCCCGCTACGCTCCTGGCGAGGGCGAGGCCGCGATGGCATCGCCAGGAGCTGCACCGGGTGGAGCAGCGCTGCGCAGAGGCTCTTCCGTCTCTCGAAGAGTCGCCTCTCCTGCGCTGAGAGGAGGGGAGGAGACGGTCACTGGGCTCGGATCCGTCATCTCGCGCGGTCTGGACAGGTTGCAAGTGCCAGCAGGCTCAGCCAAGGATGTGCCTCCATCCCCCGTGCGCGGTCGGGACGCGACGCCACCATACGGCACGCCTGCATCTGCCGATGCAGCAAATGCAGCGAGCAGCAGCACTGCGAGGAGACAGGCTGCTGCGCGACCAAAGAGGAGGTTCAATGTGAATCCCGTCATTGAGACTGCACTCATTGTGGGCGCTGGAGCGGCCATGTGTCATGAGTTAGGTACGACTGGCATTCCTAGGGTGCAGTTGCACGTCACGGGTGAGTGAAAGCTGCACCCTCATCGCTTGTCCTGCGATCGCGAGAGCGTGAGAGCTGCACCCTCATCGCTTGTCCTGCGATCGCGAGTCCATGAGCGTGAGAGCTGCACCGACGCTCGCTCGTGCTGATGATGACCGCACCTCCTCAGAATTGGCGTGGATCTGCTCCTCTACGCTGCTGTACTTGGCAACGCGAGGCGCGGGGGCGTGCGGGTTTATTTGGTCTACCGATCATCGCAATTACAGGTGGGTGAGAACGCCGTAGCTGCGGCGGCGGCGCAGTCGTCTGACCCCCCACGAGATTCCGCCACGATGCAGACAATGCGCAGATGACGGAGCGCTAAGTGGCTTGCTGCTGGGACCTCTGCTGGCCGCGGCCGCACTACTTGCAGCTATCCGGGAGACTGCAGGGCTGGCCAGTTCTCCTAATGGAAGCCCATTGCCGTTCCCGAATTGGCAAATCGAAGGACCTCTGCCCCTTGTGCAGCACGCTCGCCGAACACCAGACTCGCTCCATCAGCTGGTCCTTTCGCGATGTTCCTTGGTCAGTCTGCAAACCTTGACATCCACGATTCTGCTGCTGCACTTGCTAGGAACGAGGTGGATCAGACGTCCGGCAGATTTTCCGCAAAGCAATTGGAGACGACTGGGGTCGTTTGTGGTGTTTGAAATCTTCGTCACAGGCTTTGTCGAGCTCGTGCGGGAGTTGGCCGCGCGGAGCGGGATCTCGTTCTGGACGGGTGAGTGGGTGCGAGTGATGAAAACCGAGACGGGGGCTGACAGCCGCGCACCTCCTACGCTCTACAGACTTGGCGCGCTGGGAGGTGTTCACCGCGGCTTTATTCTATCAGAGCAATCTGTATTGCATATCGCGACTCGCTCGTAAAAGCTTCACGCTGGGTGAGCTCTCCATCGTAGCGGCTATAGGCGTGACGCTCGTCATGGAGACGCTGGGGTTGACTGTAGCCAAGGTGCGCGGCGCGGCGTGGCGTGGCGTGGGGCGATGAATTTGCGCGGCGAAGCTGACACACGCGCGCCTGTCTCCGCCTTAGGTCATGCCTTACGCCACACCCTTCGTCAAGGCCTTTCGCAGCCCAACACCACTCGTGATTTTCCAGTCTGCACTTGTGGTGGGCTCCTTTATGATCGGCTTTTTGCTCTCGCCACTGCTCTACCTCTCGCGGCATTTGGCGCAAAAGCCAGTGCATCGGCTGCGATGGCCGCACAAGCGAGACCTACACCGGCGGTTGCTAGCGGGCTTTTTCTACCTCTTTGCCGCGCTGTACGTTGTCGGCGTGCTCGGTTTGTGGACGCGTTGGATTCTGGGCCGAAGAGATCCTTGGGTATGGGTGCTGCAATTTCTCATCAAGGGCAAGCATCCGTGGTCACGACCTTTGCTCGTTGCGTACTGGCTCGCGCTCGTGGCAGCAAGCGTCTTGAGCTGGCAAGCCATCGTAGTCAGCGCCAAGCGCTTCAGGGTCGTGAGGAATCCGACCGTGACTGCCGCGACTGCCGCGACGGCGACCGCGAGTGGCAGCTTGCATGAGAACGCAGCCTCTGCGGCGCCCAACGCAGACGTGCCGATAGCACCTTCATCCGCGAATACACGAGCTACCGCGGCCGGGGTGGTCAGAAGCTTGGGAGGCCTCGGAGCCATCGGCAATGCAGCTGCAAATACCGAGACTGGAGGCGTGACGCTCAAGAGGGCCGCTACGCTGAGCTTGAACGCGCGCAGAAAGTTCTTTCACGCCCTGGCAGTCTTGCTCTTTGTGCCAGGCATCGCAGCCGATGTGAGTCGCGCGGCGCGGCGCGGCGCGACGCGATAGCGGCGCGACGTGCTAGCGATAGGTAACTTTCATTTGCGCACACTTACGCGCACTTACACGCACGCACCCGCGCACCCACGCACCCGCTCTCCACAGCCCGCTTTCATGCACTTGGCCTTCTCGCTGGCGTTTTCTGCATTCATCTTTGCAGAGTACATTCGCTACTACGCACTCTACCCATTTGGCGCCACCTTGCACGTCTTTTTGGCAGAATTTACAGACCACAAGGACAGCGGACCGGTGATACTTAGTCACTTTTACCTCCTCACTGGATGTGCCGGGCCGCTCTGGATCGAAGGTTCGTCGCAGATTACGCAACAAATAGGCGTGCTCGTTCTCGGCGTCGGAGATGCTCTAGCTAGCATCGTGGGTCGACGGTATGGGCGCGTGTACTGGCCAGGAAGCAGCAAAACGGTCGAAGGGTCGGTCGCTTTCATCGGCAGCATTCTTTGCAGTACCCTCCTCCTCCGCATGCTAGGTTGGGTGCAACCATTCAGCGTGAGTGTGCGCGAGCGCGAGGGCACTCGTAAACAACGTGCCCAACGCGCGCGCCCTCGCAAATACAGTACGAAACGCGCGCGCTCACGCTCACGCTCACACCTTTCGCGCGCCGCACGCAGATTCCTCGACTCGGCGTCGTCTTGGCTCTCCTCGGTGCGCTGGAAGGGACCAGCTCGCAAAACGACAATCTCATTTTGCCCGTGTACGGATTCGTCACTCTCACGCTGCTCAACGTATGATGCAAGCACGTGCTCAATGCTAAATTTACATGAGCGATGAGGGAGCGTGGCGCGAATGCGTGCATCAATGCTAGATTTACATGAGCGATGAGGGAGCGTGGCGCGAGTGCGTGCATCAATGCTAGATTTACATGAGCGATGAGGGAGCGTGGCGCGAGTGCGTGCATCAATGCTAGATTTACATGAGCGAGGAGGGAGCGTGGCGCTCGCTCTCGTATGCCGAGTGAGTCGCCATTTCTACGTGGCGCTCGCTCGGCGCCCGCTCTCGTATGCCGAGTGAGTGGCCTGGCGCTCGCACTCGTATTTATCAAGCCGAGTGAGTGGCCATCTCTACGTGGCGCTCGGCACTCGTCGCCATTTCTACGTGGCACTCGCTCGGCGCCCACGGCAACGAATCTCCCCAGCGGTCGCTGGTCAGACCTGCCGAGCCAGGGTTGGGCAGGCCGGCCTCCAATTGCTTCTGATAGCTGACTTGTCGAAGGCGGTGAGTTTCGGCTGGCGTCAAATTCAGGTAAATTTCAACACCAACGAGGTGCAAAAAGATTGCAAGCCACATGGCGGGTTAGGGTTAGGGTTAGGGTTAGGGTTAGGGTTAGGGTTAGGGTTAGGGTTAGGGTTAGGGTTAGGGTTAGGGTTAGGGTTAGGGTTAGGGTT